CATATATACCTTAGTAGGTTATGAACATAAACTTTTCTAAACAAATGCTATTATGCATTAAGTAAAAGTAACACTCATCTAAAGAAAAAAGTTCCGTAGAATAATTATTGAAGTGCATTCTAGAGGAGAAAGAAAGAGATGCGGTAAGTGACTACGTTTTTGTATAGTAATTGGTTGTTTGGTGTCATAGCTCCTTTCGATACACTTATTTAGCTTAGAATTGATATCAGTTGCCTCGAACTTGCTATCCCATTTGTTTATCCATCAATACATGGAAAGATGTCAAATATTTTTTTGACGGCTTAAATTTGTCGAAGCACTATATAAGAAGTTAAAGAAGAATCCGAGGCTCCCTGTCCCAAAGTTCTTCACATCGAAGATCTCCAATACGAAGCTCCCTTTGGCTGAAGCTCTTGCTGTCTTTTAGATGATCTATATGCAATTTTTATGAATGACTGATGTGACATTTGTAATAATGAATGTCAGAATTGTGAGCCTAAGATATAGGGTGGCTGACTCGTTGTCAATGTATTAAATCATAGCATACTAAGTGATGTGAGACTTTGACATGAAAGATGACGACACATTGTCATTACCCAACAGCTATCACTTCGGTCAGAACTCTATAAATAAGCAACTTTTGTAACATTTGAAGCTAATATAACTTTTGATACTAAAAACCATACTCTTCTCTCTTGCTTATTTCATATTTATGTGTTTGAGTTAATATTATTCCTATTTTAGTTGAGTTGAAAGTGATTGTTTGTTTTTATGCAATCATATTTGATCATGTAGTCGGTGTTTGAACATTTTTGTTTCGTGTCATAGAGCATCTCCCACATCTATAAAACTCATCCTTTCCCGTGTGAATCTCCGGCCAAAATGTGTTGAAATTTGCTTGTATGGATGTGAATGGGCTCGACATCTATTGTCCACGTAACCATTACAAAAACGGGGTCAACAAGTTATATAAAGAAAGATAAGAAAAAGACTAAAGTTGGAGATGGTGAAGTTGGTACACAAAAGAAATTGTAAAGCTATAAGATGCTTATTTGGCTTAGTAGATTTTGGAATATTGATTCTTTTTGGCTAATGTCTTCTATATATTAAAAGTGGCTATGTAACGGAATTTCTTGTTTTTAACGAAAAAACTAACGGAATTTGTTGTTTTAACGGACTATGTAACGGAATTTCTTGTTTTAAACAGGCAGCTGCACCTTCTTTCAGTGTTTTTATCATAACTTTGTATTCCGATATCCGATTGC